GGATGGATGGAGAGAGGAGGAGGAGGGATGGATGGAGAGAGGAGGAGGAGGGATGGATGGATGGAGAGAGGAGGAGGAGGGATGGATGGATAGAGAGAGGAGGAGGAGGGAGGGATGGATAGTGAGAGCAGGAGGGATCGATGGCAAGTGAGGGAGATGGTGGAACATGGGGGAAGAGAGAAAGGAATGGCGAGGAAATTGGGGAGGGATGACGAGAGTGGAGGGAAAGGGATGGTGAGAAGGGAAGATAAAAACTCTATCTTGCAATCTATGTATAGGAAGGGAATCTACAGATCTACACAAGTAATAAGAATATTGAACAGCAAGCATATCATTATGTGACAGTCTCGTCAGTGATTACATTCAGGTGACCATTATAGGGGTGGCTCAGAATTTGCTGCAAGTACATGACAGGTGCCCTTCAAGGGAAAAATTGACCTGCTCTCCTTTTTGGAATCTCTTTAGAACATTGTGATATAGTGGATGACATTTGGAATATTCTCTGTCATTATATCTTGCAGCATGGTGTCCTCTCCAAGCAGTTCATCGAAGTCATTAATCATTGCAACCTGATCCAGACGCGGTACAGGGAGAGCAACGTCAACAGAATCAAAAGGCAGCTTCAGATCAGTACGTCTTTTACAGCTCAATAAGCTTTGTTTTGGACACTGTCACCTTATCTATAGATGCCCCTCATTTGTTTTAATCCCCTTGTTCATTATCTGCCGATCCCTTTATATACTTGAAACATGTTGTGGTGTGTGTGGTGCCCTACAAGAAGAAACACAATCATAAAAGGTGACCTAGGTGCATTTGGGCTTCATACATGTTGCTGGATATATTAGATTATTCAGAACCTCTGAGGCTCCAGTCCACTTTTTCCAGGGGAGCTAACACTCTCCCATCAGTTGTAGCAATGGAAAGAACAAGCCCAAATTGTAGCGAGCATGGATGGGGAGCCATACTCATGGTGGGGGGTCTTGTGGAGTACCGCTAACCCTATATGAATGAATAGGGCCGTGGCGCACTGGAGCAGGATGATGAGGTCCTGGCAGGGACATTGCTGAAGAAAGGCTGTGCAGCTCTGATCACTGTAATGGGAGCAAAGGTCAAAATCAAACCGAGAAGCCATCCCTTAAAGGACGACTTGTAACAAATTGGATAGAAGGGGAAATCCTCCGCACACCTTGCAGCAATCGAGGCCTGTGTAGACAATGGTGCTTGTAGTGATGAACACCGGATGGCACCGTGCAGACACAATGTAGGAAGAGGAATCACCAGCACTCAGTAGCATAATCCAACATGCCCACTTATTGGACATAGACGTCGCACAATCACAAGAGCCAACGTTTCGAGACCCCGCAGGGTCTGTTGAAGAGGCTATGTGATTATGTGAAGTCTATGTCCAATAAATGGCCATGTTGGATTATTCTACTGAGTGCTGGTGATTCCTCTTCCTACATTGTAACAAAGTTAAAACTGTCCTTTAATGGTCATTAGAGGGTTGGGTTGAGGTTAACATATTAGGCTTTGGTAAGTTGTTTGGCATAAGTGCCAAGGCTGGATAGATGCAAATATTTGTCGTGCAAGTTCAGAAAGTGCCACGTGGTTCTCAAGTTCCTCTGCTAGGTTTTAGAAGTCAAAAGAAAAATGTAATCCCTGCTGGTTTATTCCAAGGCAGCAGTGGTAGTCAGCTTGTTTGATAATGGGGGGCCTCAGCTGTGAGGTCATGAGATGGTCAGAGGCAGCCTGCGGGTTTGGGTGCAGACAGAGACTGGAAGCATCTTACATTAGACTGCTAGCAATGACTGCTATTGCAGCCTCCTTACAAACCAATGCCCCCTGCTTCTGTCTGCTAGGGCTGCACAGTAGGTACCAAAGGGATGCATATGACCCTTGGACTGCAAGTTGGGTACCAAGGATCTAAGGACCTGTTTCGGATAGCTTTTGTTTGTCTCGGAACTACCTCTCGGCTCAAACAAATGAACGGGAATGCAAAAGCAGCGTGAAGCAGTTTGATGTGAATTAGGAGGTCAAATGCACTTATCGGTGAACTATCAACGATGTGTACCATGAGTGTCCCAAACTGAGGCCAAATGCACCTGTCGGTGAACTGTCAATGATTTCAGGAGTGTCTCAAACTGAGGCCAAATGCACCTGGAAAGCCGGCTGTATTGACACAAGCTCAAAACCCAACAACACAGGCCATAAGGGTCTGCAGGTAACGACGTATGAAGAATTCTCGGCCCCCGTTTGATGATCTCTGGCATGGTCATCACAGCTCCCGTCTCTCCACTCTGGCATGGTCATCACAGCTCACGTCTCTCCACTCTGGCATGGTCATCACAGCTCCTGTCTGTCTGCTTCGCCATGGCCAGCATAGCTCCTGTCCGCTTCGCCATGGCCAGCATAGCTCCTGTCTGTCCGCTTCGCCATGGCCAGCATAGCTCCTGTCCGCTTCGCCATGGCCAGCATAGCTCCTGTCTGTCCGCTTCGCCATGGCCAGCATAGCTCCTGTCTGGCCACATTGGCATGGCCAGCATAGCTCCTGTCTGTCCGCTTTGCCATGGCCAGCATAGCTCCTGTCCGCTTCGCCATGGCCAGCATAGCTCCTGTCTGTCCGCTTCGCCATGGCCAGCATAGCTCCTGTCTGTCCGCTTCGCCATGGCCAGCATAGCTCCTGTCCGCTTCGCCATGGCCAGCATAGCTCCTGTCTGTCCGCTTCGCCATGGCCAGCATAGCTCCTGTCTGTCCGCTTCGCCATGGCCAGCATAGCTCCTGTCTGGCCACATTGGCATGGCCAGCATAGCTCCTGTCTGTCCGCTTCGCCATGGCCAGCATAGCTCCCGTCTGGCCACATTGACATGACCAGCATAGCTCCCGTCTGGCCACATTGGCATGACCAGCATAGCTCCCGTCCACATTGGCATGACCAGCATAGCTCCCGTCCACATTGGCATGGTCAGTCAGACTGCGTCCTACCACTATTTGCATGTTTTGTCTTCTATCTCTCGGTCTGTATGTCACTAGCTTGGTAGTGATTTCTCTCTGTCCTCTCTTAGGGCCGATGTTCAGAAGTTCAAGGTCTTTTGAGTTGAATTTTCATTGCATGTATACAGTGTAAAATACAAGTCTCTGTCTAGTGAAGCTCCTCCCACTTCTTGATAAGCCCCACCCATTTTACAGACGCATTTTTGCTGGTTCAATACACTGCACCACCGCAACATAAGCACTGGGGAATTGTAGGAATGGGTCCACCTACACCCTCTGTGTGGTCAGTTTGTAGAACCATTGCTATGTCCTTAATGTCTGTCCAGCTGATCTCTGACTCCGTTCTGTGTGCCCATTTAAACAGTCTTGATTCTCTTATCTTGAGAGAATCAAGTCTGCTTAAATGGGCACACAGAACGGAGGCCATAAGGGTCTGCAGGTAACGACGTATGAAGAATTCTCGGCCCCCGTTTGATGATCTTGTCTTTTCACAGCCGGACAGAGACTCACAGACGATCAGTTTGACGACATGCTGGAGAGCGGACAGAGCGACATCTTTACATGTAATGTAAGCAAAGGTTGTGTGTGTGTGTTTTTATTAAAAAGTTTAGTTTTAACACGTGGCAAGGGAAGGAAGGAAATCTATAAGCGACTCACTTAGTGCTGTGCCCATTGAAGAGAGTAAGCTGTTCCAAAATCAGGCTGGTACCTTCTACCAGAGGAAGGCATAATGAATATGCACAAATACAAAATATCCATTCAACACCATTTGCGGGTCTTTACCTTTTAAAAAAAGTGACACTAAACTCAGGAATTAAATCTTAAAAATACATTCAGGTCCCTGAACTATAAACAACAATGTATCTTATTTGTGTATCACTCGGCTGGAGATCCTCCAATCATCTCTGACACCGTCCTTCCTTCTGGAGGGGGGCTACGTCTGTTCCCCATGGTCCCTGTGTGTGTTGTACGGTAGTCACCGCTCCAAGCTCACTCCCGGGATGGACTACAATCTCAATACAAATTAGTAAACTAAACATGAGATTTTAGTCCATCCCGGGAGCGAGCTTGGAGCGGTGACTACTTTACAACACACACAGGGGCCATGGAGAACAGACATAGCCCCCCCTCCAGAAGGAAGGACAGTGTCGGCACCAATTCAGAGATGATTGGAGGATCTCCAGCCGAGTGATACACAAATAAGATACATTTTTGGTTATAGTTAATAAGTGAATGCTTGTTTAAGATTCAACTCCTGAATTTAGTGTCATTTTAAATAAAGTTGAAGAGACGATGACTAAACTGCGGGTATAAACAGGTTTTAAGAAGAAGGAAAAGGCCCAGTGCCCTGGTAGTGTTGGAGTATATGCCTTCATGGCTGTGCTGCAATGAACATACTTGGTGGACAATGGTGCATGAAGGGACCATTCCTGCGATGGAGAGAGAATACACATTGGCCAAAGAGTAAACTTGGAGAGGGTGTTAGGTCCTAGCAGGGAAAGTGTTGAGGGAGCTGTCATGGTATTGGTTGAGGAAAGAAAGCATGGGATAGGGGGGGCGAGGGGGATCAACACTGGCATGTCCAGGGATCCCTGCTCTGAACCAGGGCAAGGCATAAGGGGTTGTGGGGCAGGACCGGGGAAACATTGGGAAGATGGGGAGAGAAAAAAGGCATTGGAGTTTAAGAGGGGGAATTACGAAAGAGAAGGGAGTGCAGGTTGGATTTGAGGAAGTGGAATTAAAAAAGAGAAGGGGGTGCAGGTTGGAGTTGAGGAGGGGGGTGCAGGTTGGAGTTGAGGAAGGGGAATTAGGAAAGAGAAGGGGGTGCAGGATCTTTTTCTCCTCTAGGATAGCCTCTTCCTCCCTCACCATCTTAATGAGATCAGAGTATCGCAAAGAGGTACCTCCTTGTAAAGTCTTCAACTGGATCCAGATAGGGTCAGAACTCAGAGCGCCTCTCAGGATCTGTTTCATTCTTACTTGATCCATATCCATGGGCTCTATTCCTTTCTTTAGTACAATCTGGTATAGCATTTTGTTTAGTCGTCGAATATACTCAGAAAGCTGCTAATTTTCCCGTTGAACAGAAAAAACATGTAAACAGCGCTCTCGGATGGGCAAAAAGTTGGCTTAGAGGCGTGTATGCAGCCCTGGAAAACAGGAGGAGAACCTGTGAAATGTAAATGTTCAAGAAACCAAGAGAGGGCACAGAGAACACTGGCTAGCTAACGAAGCTGTCCATTGTCGACACCACAGCGATCTCCCTGCCTCTCCTCCACACCGCACAGACCCCCTACGGCACTTCGGACAAAGTCCCCTCTTCTTGTCTACACTCTACCGTGGATGTACCTCTTGGATCAACACCGATTTACAGTCGGAACCACACCACGAGTGCCCCGATCCTCCATACCGGCCGTCCATCTCCATGTCTAGGGTGTAAAATAAAGACACTCTCCTAAACCTCGGTCGCTCCTGACTGCGAGCCTGGTCCCTGCAGCCTCTCTCCCTCTCTTCTGTGCTCCGGCAATGGAATGTTCCTCGCATCCAATACACTGTATTAAGGTGCCCATTCACTGCACGATTATCGTACGATAATCGTATGCGATCGGTTTTTCGGACGTTAATCGAGCAGTGTGAACGGAGACGTGCGACCGTTTCTACTGTACGGTCGCACGTCTTCTGTCGAACCAGCATGTTCGAAAACCAGTCGGGAATCGTACGATTCTCGGCTGGTTTGAACGGTGCTCGGAAGACAAATGCCGAACGGTCCGATGTGCGCACGCGCACACTGCCTGTTCAGCATTGCGGTCATCGGAAGCCCGCCCCTCAGGGGGGCGGGCTTGCGATGATCGAGAGTGCGATCTGCCTGTCCAAGATAGGCAGATTGTACGTTTTTTTTAAATCCCTGTACAACCATCGCAAGACTAAAGTCTTGCGATGGTTGTACAGTGTATGGCCACCTTTTAGATGTGATGAGTCGTGGATCCTTAAGGTGCCCATACACTTTACAACCCTCGCAAGACTTTTGTCTTGCGAGGGTTGTAAAGTACTTTAAAAAAACGTCCGATCTGCCCATCTTGGACAGGCAGATCGTACTTGCGATCATTGCAAGCCTGCCCCCCAAAGGGCGGGCTTACGGTGACTGCAATGAGGGGCGGGCTTACGATGACTGCAAACGGGCTGTGTGCACGTGCGCACACCGGCCCGTTCGGCAGTTGTCGGACCAGCAGGCCACTAACTCGCCGAGAATCGTCTGATTCCCGGCGGGTTTTCTAGCCTGCTTGTTCGGAAGACGTGCGACCGTACAGTAGAAACGGTCGCACGCCTTCCATACACTGCACGATTCTCGTACGATCGCGGGATTTCCCGCACGAGAATCGTGCAGTGTATGGGCACCTTTTTAGACTGCCTGAGTGGAGGGGGAGAGGGGCTGCACGGACAAGTCCCAATAGCCAGGTGTGAACAAGGTTTGGGTGAGTATCTATTTTTACACCCGCCTAGACCAAAATGAGCACTGCAAGGGTTAAAGGGGTTCTAAACCCTCCGGTTTTTTTTTTTGCCTACATCTACTGCTAGCAAGCAAGAGATATAGGCAAGAAGTTTAAAAAAAAAAAAAACCCCTCTTTAATTAGGTTTAAACTTACCTCGTTACCGCGCCGAGAATCGGGAACTGCTAGTACGGCCGCAAAGTGTCTTGGGGGTATGCGCAGTTCCGATTCTCGGCCGGGAGACGAGCAGAGACGCAAGGTAAGTCTATGGACGCGTGCACCAGCATGCAGACACAGTGGGATCGGAGGGACAGAGCAGTCAGCGCTGGATCGGAGACCCGCCGCACCGCAGGAGGGACAGATGAAAACATCAGGAGAGAAGAAGAAGATCGGGTTAAGAGACATCATTTAAGCTAAGTGCTAACACTAACATGGGGGGGGGAGGAAACATTTTTTTGACTTTAATGTCACTTTAAAGGACTCTGGGCAGAATAAGACTTAAAGAGAACCTGTCACTTTGCACGGAGAAGGCACAGGTCTGTTTTAGTGAATGTCTGATGGGTTGCTGTCATTTAGGAATCAATCTGTATAAATGGCGGGAAGGATAACGTACTCGCATTTTGTCTCCTCAGGTTCCTCATTGGCGGAGTTGGTCGGAGTCGGGAACGAGTATCTGAAGTCATCGGTGGACGTTGCCGTGTTTGGGCTCTGAATGTATGTGGGGGAAGTCTCGTGTGTAATAAAGACCATGACATTGGCTCCAAGTCTGAGCATCTCCATATGTACTCTATGATCTGTCTTAGATCTGTCAGAACTTATCGGTCATGATTTTAGAATTTTGGGGCAGGACCGGCTTTAAGTGATGCCCCACCTGCAGACGAGCTGCTTTTAGAAAAAGGGGCCAAATACTTGGCTGTGAATGGATCTGACGAGCGTTCTGATTCTTTGCGTCTCACATTTCTGGTGTTGGGCCAGGACCAGCGTAGTCATAGATTGGGTGGCCGGGCAGAGGGAGCCAATCTGTGTCTCTGCCTCTTGAGCTCTAGGCTGGGAACTGCCAACCAGGAATGGGAGCATTATCAGTCACGTGTTCGTGATAAAAGAAAGGCGGTCATTCATGGAGGTCCACTCAGTAAAATGATCTTCCAGCATAGTTATGAATGTAAGGGGGGCACGGGTAATGCAAGGGGGAGGGTAACCAATGTAAGACACTCTGGTGACGCCTAATGTGAGGGGGCACTCTGATGGGCACAACTAATGCTCAGTTGTCCCCATAGAATACCTGCATATGTTGGTTGCCCCCCTGAGACTGCCCCTTTTACAGTAGTTGTGCCCCTCAACGTGAGCCCTTACAATAACTGCTCCACCAGAGTCCCACTATATCTGAAAGGCACTCTGATTGGGGTAACCAATGTAAGGCGTGCACTCTGATGGGGGACACAATCATTACTTGTCCCTATCGGAGTGTCCCCTATATTGGTTGCCCACAGCAACGGGCACTCATCATTGTGGGCCCCCCCTTGCATTGGGCGTCCCCATCATTGTGGGCCCCCCCTTGCATTGGGCGTCCCCATCATTGTGGCCCCCCCCCTTTGCATTGGGCGTCCCCATCATTGTGGCCCGCCCCTTTGCATTGGGCGTCCCCATCATTGTGCCCCCCCCTTGCATTGGGCGTCCCCATCATTGTGCCCCCCCCTTGCATTGGGCGTCCCCATCATTGTGCCCCCCCCTTGCATTGGGCGTCCCCATCATTGTGCCCCCCCCTTGCATTGGGCGTCCCCATCATTGTGCCCCCCCCTTGCATTGGGCGTCCCCATCATTGTGCCCCCCCCTTGCATTGGGCGTCCCCATCATTGTGCCCCCCCCTTGCATTGGGCGTCCCCATCATTGTGCCCCCCCCTTGCATTGGGCGTCCCCATCATTGTGCCCCCCCCTTGCATTGGGCGTCCCCATCATTGTGCCCCCCCCTTGCATTGGGCGTCCCCATCATTGTGCCCCCCCCTTGCATTGGGCGTCCCCATCATTGTGCCCCCCCCTTGCATTGGGCGTCCCCATCATTGTGCCCCCCCCTTGCATTGGGCGTCCCCATCATTGTGCCCCCCCCTTGCATTGGGCGTCCCCATCATTGTGCCCCCCCCTTGCATTGGGCGTCCCCATCATTGTGCCCCCCCCTTGCATTGGGCGTCCCCATCATTGTGCCCCCCCCTTGCATTGGGCGTCCCCATCATTGTGCCCCCCCCTTGCATTGGGCGTCCCCATCATTGTGCCCCCCCCTTGCATTGGGCGTCCCCATCATTGTGCCCCCCCCTTGCATTGGGCGTCCCCATCATTGTGCCCCCCCCTTGCATTGGGCGTCCCCATCATTGTGGCCCCCCTTGCATTGAGTGTCATGTAAAGGGGGCTCTCTGGGGACACCTAATGTAAGGGGATACTCTGTAAGTAGGCCACAGGCATGGCTCCCAAAGCCAGATGTGATGACACTACAAATCCAATCATGCCTCTGGAAGCTATGCCTGAGGCTCTTAGAGTCTTGCAATGTCTCATGGGACTTATAGTTCCATGACAGCCGTAGGGCCGAGGCTGCTTATCCCTGTACTGAACACACAACCCCTAAAAGGGACCTGGAACCAAACCGCCATCCCAACACTGAACCCATTGCATTGGGATCAGTTCAGAGTGCTGTGTATCTGTCGCCATGGTGATCATACTCCCCCCTTCATTAGGGCCAATCGCAGCACAGTCGCAGGAAATTAGTTGCAGCCTGGATGGAAGTATGTAATTTGTCATGCCTCTCAACCACACTGAGGCCCAATCATGAGAGGCGGCGGTGGAACTATTAGAGAACCAGGAAGTGGTTGGGGATCACCATGGCAATCAGAGACACAGCCATAAAATGTTCCTTTTTACCCCCGGTGCAAATAATTACCAAAGGGGCATTCCAGCACCTCCTCTACCCCAAAAAGGCAAACTATAAAAAAAAAAAAACATTAAAGGGGCATTCCCGTGGTATCCCGTTCAGGCATATGAAGAGAAAGAAAGTATGTATAGAAGTGTGGGGTGTGTGTGACCCCCCCAATGTATACTAAGCGGGCCACCCCAAAATAGCAACAGGGCATGGTAAAGGGGAACTCTATGTTGTGATTGGATTAAATGAGGTGGAGGAGGAACACCACTCTGAACTAAACCCAATGCCCTTGGCTCCAGGTGCCTTTTTTTTGGGGGGGGGGGTTCTCACTTTAGTTGTATGTTTAGCATAGGGGAAGGCACCGTCGCCACTCTAGCTGTTGTGGCACTACAAGTCCCATGAGGCATTGCGAACTCTGACAACCACAGGCATGGCTTCCAGAGGCAGATGCATGATAGGATTTGTGGTTTTATTCTGATTACAACACAGAAGGGTTTTGCGAGTGTTTTATAAATACACCAATGCGGTCAACACTTTTTTTTTTTCCGCTCTGGACGTTATGTTTCTATGGGCTTTATACCTTTTTAAAATTTTGAGATTTGTTGGACCCAGTCATATTTTTGCAGTCTTCAGTCCCCCGTTGCTGGTGATCCAGTGCCGTCTGTGCCCGCTGTCCTTATCTGAAAGAAGAGGGGCCAGACGGTCGTCATCTGCTGCTGTAGCTCGTATTCTTCAAGGTTCCTCATGTTGGGTTTTCAATCTGCACGGCTCCTCTGGAAAAAGTGATAGTTGGAGCATCTGTGGCTGTCCCGTCACCTTGAAAAGGACCAGCCGTTCTCCGACCTCTCCCATTTAATCAGGTGTTTTCCTAATTTCCCTGAAAGTCTCAGGAGGTCCGCATTATTGGAGATGCTACGACTATGTCTGCCACTGACGACCATTCCGCTGCCAAAGTTGAGGCCACTTGATTACCTGCTTGTGTATTTGCACTAATGAAACGCACGTGCCCCAGGTCTTCCACTGACTGCACTAGATCATATTCATTCATATTGAGTGTGCTAGGTCTTCCAATGAGTGCCTTGGGTCTCCTACTGAGTGCCCCAAGTCTTCTACTGAATGCACTAGATAATATTTATTCTTGAGTGCCCCGGCTCTTCTGCTGAGTGCCCTAGATCATATTAATTCCTACTGAGTGCCCCAAGTCTTCTACTGAATGCACTACATAATATTTATTCTTGAGCGCTCCAGGTCTCCTACTGAACGCCCTAGATCTCCTATTGAGTGTCCCAGGCCTTCCAATGGGTGCCTTGGGTCTTGTACTGAGCGCCCAGATCTTTCACTGCCAACACATTGTGTCCATTCTAATATTTGATTGAACAGCACCACCTCTCGACCAGGTCTACATGGTTTTCAGTTGCAGCCACTTGATTTACTGTTTGTGTATTGGCACTAATAAAAAGCCGGACCCAATAAAGTGGAAGTGCCCATCTGTCCTCAATGTGAACCGTCAGCCCATTCACACAACATGTGCACTGCTTTTGTACAGAACTAACCACAGTTCTTCAGTATGACACAAAGCCAGACTCTGTTACATCCACAAAGGCATGATCAGGAAAGCCCTGTGTCAGAGGCTTAACTAGAACCCTCAGGGCCCCGATGCAACCATGAAGGACCCGCCCAGGGAGGCCGTGTTGGCCCTTGAGTTGTTAGACTCTCAGCACCCAGTACCTCTCTGTGCCCTGAACCTAAGCACTGACCCCTATCTGGTGATCATGCCATGAAGGTCCGTATTCAGGACCAGGCTCTGTCCTTGGGTCCCAATTGTGTGGCTTGGGGGGGAGACTGCAAGCAGCTGAGCCAATAGACATTGTCTGGGCAATGTTCCACTTTTGTCACCATCAGGAAAATGACAGGCATCACTTGCTGGCGTGGCCCCTAGGGGAACTGCCTGAAAGTTGTAGTCTAAGGTAAGTTACTTTCACTTTAATTTGTGCTCATTTCATTCACTTCCTGTAAGCTTAGGCTGCCATGGGAACACGCCCTAAGGAAGGCCATGAGCTCACAGTACAATACTGCAGAGAGAGCTGATGTCATGTGAGTACCGCTTTCTGCAGTATTGGAGGTTGCCCACCATCGCCAGATGAACAAGAGAAAGAAGACCCCCCGTACATCACAATTATGTTAATATTTATACTGACACTGGGAGGAGTAATTTCACGTTTCACTCTCAGCGCCCACTGCGGGTACAATCTGGAATGGCACCTCACCCATACAGGTATACAGGCTCTCTATGAGCAGTGTTATATCTGGAAGATTTCACTCAGCAGGACAAGGACACATCTCTGATTGATAGGAAGACTGAGGAACATGGAAGACCTGGACCTCCATTACTACACTGAGAGGTCAGCGGTACCTGGATATTTCAGTTAAAAGAGGAGCCCCACCTACAGATAATGTAGACACAAAATTGTTTATTATTTTAAACATTACCAAAACAAAAAGTATTTCTCTCTGACTCTGAACATTGCAAACTACACAGAGTAGAAAAGAACAATGACATATAAACAGTGCAAACAGTTATTATTCCCTGAGTAGTAAACTCAGGACATCTAACTTTGGTTTGGCTCTCATATAGAGGAGCGCAGTACAAAAGGCACAATGCTGGTTAAGCAAAAAAAGAGAAGCAGCGACATTCCAGGAACATTCCGGAATCCATCGGGAAAAGACTTTTGCCATCTTGGTTCCTCCGGAGGTCTCCCCTTACAGGCCGAACACTTTGGGGTTCACGGAGGATTTCAGCAGCTCATTCCCGGCTCTGACAAACTCACCCAGAGAGGAACCTGAGGACACAATAAATGTCACTTTGATCTATTCCCGGGCGCCGTGTACCGAGTGATGAATTCACAATCTGATTGTTTAGCATTAAACATAGACCCCCCCCCCATAGACCAGCACCGGTTCCACGATCCAGCTATGAGGCAATGGACTCTGCATACTATAGTTGTTAGGGATGCACCAATACCGATGCTAGTATCGGTACTCGTACTCGCCCAAATGCTCCTGATGCTTATTCCGATACCGGAACTTCTGTTATCAGGAAGCCGGGCGGCGAGTCATGACACGCCGCCTGGCTTCCTGATTGGCCGGGAAGCCGGCTCCATGCTCCCTCGTCACCAGGGAGCATTGAGCTGGCTTCCCGGCCAATCAGGAAGCCAGGCGGTGTGTGATTACACGCTGCCCAGCTTCCTTAGGCCTCATTCACACTGGAATCGGCCGGCACGTACAGCTCTGTGCTGCGTGCACGGCCGTATCGGGCAGCTCCCGGGAAGGACAGGGCTTGCGTGTGATTAGTACGCAGCCCCCATCCTTCTTTATGGGACTACGCGGCCGCACGCTGCCCTACGCTGGCCTTTAGGGGTGCGTGTTTCCTGGCTCGGACGCAGACAGGATCCATCCTGTCAGCGCACGAGTACGCTCACCCGCACCCGTACGGACGTGCAGGGCGTGTGAGAGTAGGAGGACGTGCAGCCGCGTAGTCCCATAGAGAAGGACGCGGGCTGCGTACTAATCACACGCAGCACCTGTCCTTCCCGGGAGCGGCCCGCTACGGCCGTGCACGCAGCACGGAGCTGTACGTGCCGGCCGATTACAGTGTGAATGAGGCCTTATGGGGACTTCCGGTATCTGTAATTGGCATCGGCGAGTACTGGGAAAAAAATATATCGGTACTCGTGCTCGATGCCGAAAAACTGGTATCGGTGCATCCCTAGTTGTTGTTGATAATACAAATCAATGCTTACTTTAAAAAAATTCCTTTTATGTTGTGAGTGTCATTAACCTTCTGGATTCCCAAAAAAGACGCCTATTCACAGCAAAGACTAACCTCTCATTCAAAGTTCATCCCTCCAGGAATTCTGGTCTCCAATGTGAAGGTCCAATAAACTTCCTTTCTACTGAAAAGAGTATCATACATGATACTTGTGTATTGCTCTCCATAGGGAACCATTTGTTCCAAATTCCCTTCTCTTAGCAATGAATTGTAGGTGATTTTGGTGTCATGTCTGCACTATTAAAAATGCGTGCTCCCGGCCTTCGTGGTGATTGAAGAAACAGAAGCCATTAAGTAGGGAATAAACACTTACAGTATTATTACTAACTAAGCAGGACAAGTCTGTGGGGGTACTGCAGTTTGTGCTCAGCCCTTTCTCTGATGACTTACCTGCTCTGGCCCTGAACCAGGAGACGGCCTTCCCTTCCAGCAGCTCCCACTCCTCTCTCTCATCCAGACTGGTGGCGTGAAGCCAAATTACCGCCAGGACCGTCACCCACACCGACACCTCTACGTTCTGTAGAGGAGGGAAGGACGAGTTTATTATACAGGACCTGAAATGTTACTTATCTCTATAATTCTGGGTTCTGGATTCCTGTACAACTCTCGGACCAAGCATCACCAGGGAACAGAATTTTAGATTGTAAGCCCTCAGGGGCAGGGCCCTCCTTACCGTCTTGTCTTGAATTGTATTGTGATTGTAACGCTAAACCGCGATTGTAAACCGCTGTGCAAATTGTTGGCGCTCTATAAATCCCGTATAATAATAATAACAGGCAACAAGGCACAACACTATACCTGGTTGGGGTTTTTGGCCTTTATGTCGGTCTCGGATATTCCAAGAACAGCAGAAAATTCAGGAGTCAGTTTCCAGGATCCGTCCGCATTCTGCAGGGAGATCAGCTTCAAGAGAGCGGGGGTCTCCACTAAGGGAGCAGGTGGTGGGGGTGGTGGTGGTGAAAATGAGTCTAAAATTAACAGTAAAAATATTATAATACCTGATGTAAAATGTAAGATAACAAATATATATTTCATAAAACTGGTGAGGTGGATCACACACATCACACTGTATATTGGTAAAGTGAATCTGCTCCCTGACAGTATGTAAAAATTGATCGCTGGAACTCCAAACAGTTAAAATAAATATAATATACACTCACTGGCTACTTCATTAGGTACACCTGCTCACCTGCTCGTTCACACAAATATCTAATCAGCCAATCACATGGCAGCAACTCAACAGCAATTAAGCATTTAGACGTGGCCAAGATGATCTGTTAAACTTCAAACAAGCATCAGAATGGGGAAGAAAGGGGATTTAAAAGGAGAACTATGGGGTTAGGGCTTTTCCCCCTTAGTTCTCCTTGGGGTAACGGGAGGACACAAACTAGCGTCCTCCCGTCACCCTAAGCTCAGTATATAGGGAGCTACAGCTCGCGGTATACTGAGACGCCGCAGCTGAAGCGGATCCCGACAATTATGCCGGGATCCGCCCAGCTGCGTGACTGACAGCTGGCTCTGCCTATCTAGAGGCAGAGCCAGCTGTACCCGCCCCCTCCCCCGTCCGTTCCGCCAGTCAGCGCTGGCGGATCGGAGCGGGGAGGGGGGAATCCAGCCCCTCCCCTGTCACGGCAGAGAGCCGTGACAGGATCGAGAGGTGAGCGAACGCCGGTATGTGTTCGCTCACCTCTCGATCTACTGAGCCGACCTGTGACAGTCTCATTGTCACAGGTCGGCTAGAACTATGAGGTGAGTGAAAAGCACTCCCCTCATACTTCTCCTTTAAGTGACTGTAAACGTGGCATGGTTGTTGGTGCCAGACGAGCTGGTCTGAGTATTTCAGAAACTGCTGATCTGCTGGGATTTTCACACACAACCATCTCTCGGGTTTACAGAGAATGATCCGAAAAAGAGAAAAAATCCAGCGAGCCAAGCAGTTCTCTGGGTGAAAATGCCTTGTTTGAGGTCAGAGGTCAGAGGAGAATGGCCAGACTGGTTCAAGCTGATACAAAGGCAACAGTAACTCAAGTAATCACTTGTTACATCCGAGGTCTGCAGAATACAATCTCTGTCCAAATTTGCAGCACATGGGCAGCAGAAGACCACACCAGGGGCCACTCCTGTCAGCTACGAACAGCAAACTGAGGCTACAATTCACACAGGCTCACCAAAATTGGACAACAAAAGGTTGGAAAAGACGTTGCCTGGTCTGTTTTGAGTTTCAACTTCTGCTGCAACATTCGGATGGTTGGGTCAGAATTTGGCGTAAACATGAAATCATGGATCCATCCTGCCTTGTATCAATGGTTCAGGCTGGTGGTGGTGTAATGGTGAGGGGGATATTTTCTGGACACATTTTAGGCCCCTTAGTACCAATTGGCCATTGTTTAAATGCCACAGCCCACCTGAGTATTGTCGCTGACCATGTCCATCCCTTTATGACTACAGTGCACCCATCTTCTGATGGTTACTTCCAGCAGGATAATGCGCCATGTCACGTAGCTACAGTCATCTCAAACTTGTTTCTTGAACGTGATAATGAGTTAATCGTGCTCGAATGGCCTCCACAGTCACCAGATCTCAATGCAATAGAGCACCTTTGGTATATGGGGGAACGGGAGATTTGCATCATGGCTACTGCGTGATGCTATCATATCAATGTGGACCAAACTCTCTAAGGAATGTTTCCAGCACCTTGTTGAATCTATGTCACAAAGAATTAACGCAGATCTAAAGAAAAGTCAAAATGGAGTCCAACCCCGTACTAGCAAGGTGTTCAGTAAGTTATATATAGAGAGATAGATCTAACGATCTATCTCTCTATATATACACACACATACATACATACATACACATATACAGTATATAATGTACTCAGGGCCAGACTTACTCTCCCTGCCGCCCCAAGGCCAGGTTCCGCAATACGCCCCCCCTCTTCCCATCAATTGAGAATGGCAACCAGATGGCAGGGCGGCAGGGTTAGTTTTAATTTTTTTTACTGTTTCTTTATTTTTTTAAACTTTTTTATATCACTTTTTATTTTTTTATTTAATTATTTCTTATTTTTTGCAATTTTTATTTAACTTTTTTAAATCAATTAAATTTTTTTTAGATTTTTATTTATCTTATTTCCTTTTTTATCATTGTTTTATCTTATTATTGTTTATTTTTTATAAATTATTTTTTAATAATTTGTTTCTTATTATTTTTTTACTTTTTAATCACCTTTTTATTTCATTATTTCATATACTTTTTTTTTAATTGTTATTTATTTAATCAATTAAAAAAAAATGTCACCTAACTTTATTGCTATCACACAGGAGAAAACAATCCCCTGTGTGTTAGCAAATGGAGGTGACAGGTTCTCTTTATTGACCCTGTCACCCCCAATACAGGAGTTCTAGCACAGCACTGTGCTGGAACTCCTGCGACAGGTGAGAGAGGAAGAGCACAGCACAGCACAGCACAGCATAGCACAGCTCTCCCCTCTCACTGTCTACACAGAGCGGCAAGTTTACTTTGAACCCTGCCGCTCTGCTCACTGCAGTGAGGAGAGACTCGGCGGCAGAGCCCGGAGGACGGAACCAGAGGAGAGAGGTAAGTGCAGGGGGGAGGCTGCACACTTTTTACATGTGATCTCGGCGACATCGCCGAGTTCACATGTAAACGAACAATCGGCTTCCTCACTCTACATTTAGTCCTGCTTGTACAAAGCAGGACTAAATGTAGAGAGGGCAACTTACCGCTCGGCGCCTGTAACTTCCCCACAAGGACACCACCGCCGCCCCTCTGCGCCCTGCCGCCCCGAGGTCGGGCCTCGGTGGCCTTGTGGGGAATCCGGGCCTGAATGTACTCCAGCAAACTACACTGCTTTGAAGCAACACAGTGTGTGACTGGACAGTAAAGAGCAGCAGAACAATGAGGAGCTTAGCCCTCTCCTCTCCTTTTCCTGTGTACGATTGGTCACTCCAGAGAACACGCCTCCACTTCTCTAGAGTCCAGTGGCGGCGCGCTTTACACCACAGCATCCCACGCTTTGCATTGCACTTGGTGATGTGCGGCTTGGATGCAGCTGCTCGGCCATGGAAACCCATTCCATGAAGCTCTCTACGCACTGTTGTTGTGCCAATCTGAAGGCCACACGAAGTTTGGAAGTCTGTAGCTATTGACTCTGCAGACAGTTGGCGACTTCTGCGCACTGTGCGCTTCACCATGCGCTGACCCCGCTCTGTCATGTGACGTGGCCTCCCACTTCCTGGCTGAGTTGCTGTTGTTCCCGGTTGCTTCCACTTTGTTATAATACCAGTAACAGGTGACCGCGGAATATTTAGTAGCCAGGAAATCTCACGGAACACCTGAATCCAATTAATTGGAGGGGCGTCCCAATACTTTTGGTAATATAGTGTATATATATGGTGGTATTGTGTGGCAATCCCCCTGTAGAATTGGGTGTTATGATCTCCCAGGACTCTCAGCCAGAGGGGCTGAGAGGTGTAAGGAAGCAAGGGTTTGTCTGAGTTCTGCCGTTTAGCAGTGGCAAGCACCCGATGATTGCACAGGTGTGCACAGCCCTTAAGGAAAGGATGCTGGCTAGGGGAATGACCGTATTTGCCGGCGTATAAGATGAGTTTTTAGACTTAAAAACATCCCCCGAAAATTGGGGGTCGTCCTTTACGCCGGGTATGGATGTGCGATACTGTATGTGGCTTCGGCTACATACAGTATACCGCGCTGAGCCAATCACGGCAGGCTTTGTATTAATGAATACAAAGCCTGTATTACTGAATACAAAGCCTGCCTTGATTGGCTCGGGGCGTTATACTGTATGTAGACGAAGGACGGAACCCGGAAGATGGAGGACACAGCGGGGATCGTGGACAAGGTAATTGACTGTAATCCCGAGTGTGGCTCGGGGGTTACCGCATATGGTACTGAAAATTAACCCCGAGCCACACTCGGGAATACCGCCATGGAGGTTAGTGCGTGCATTTAAACATTATTTTGGGCTATACTCGCCTTATACAAGTATAGCCCAAAACCTATATTTTAAACACAAAAAGTAGGGAGTCGTCTTATACGCCCAGTCGCCTTATACGCCAGGAAATACGGTAGGTCCTGGTGGGAAATAGGAACACACCGTGTTCAGGGGTCAGGAAGACTCCCCCAAAATTTAGATAGGAGTCCGGTGAGCTTCTGCTGGGATAGGAATGGACAGTGTTCAGGGGTCAGGAAGAATTCCCCAGAATTTAAAGTGGTCAGGTGGTGTGTGTGCTGGAGTCTGGGAGAGAACTGGTGAGGCTAGGAGAGCCGTGAGTCTGAGGGGCCGCCAGTACAAGTGTGGGACAGCACTTCAAAGAGGACCTGTGGGTCAGAAGTGCTAATGTTTAAAGTGGAAGCCAGGAGGCTAAACTTGTGTTATGTTGTTAGTATTGCATGGAGGTTATGCTGAACAACCCCTGCGAGGGTATCCAAGATGGATGTATGAACTGTTGTTTGAATAAAAGTGGGCTGACGAGCCCTTAAACAGAAAATATTGCGAGTGGACGGCATCCTTACAGCGCTCACCATGTGTGCCATACATGCAAAAAACTCCTTCTGTAGCACTTCAAAAGAGAGAAGACCTCAGGCATGAGTAACAGGATGGGAGGGAAGTGTTATTATTATTATTTTGAAAAGAAACCTGACTGCTCTTACCGTCCATTCCCATGAGCAGGTCGGTAGACTCTTCGATTTCGAAATTTAGATCAGTAGTACTTATTGGTACTAAAAGGTAAAAAGAAAGACGGCTGAAGATTAGCGACTCCACCTCTATGTAAACTATTTAGGATTTATCAGTGACGTAGAGATCATAGTTCTACATTTCCATCTCTGCATTTCACATAAAGATAGGTTCTCTCTCTAGTGGTTATATGTCTAACAGGCAGCCTAGTCTGCATCTCTGTGGAACAGCTGCCGAGATTACAGGATAAACCACACAGAAAATAGGATTAATATCATCGATAATTACAGGGAGATGAAATACATAAAACAAGGTCATGTGACCTGTAATCTTAATGGAAGACTGGTGATGATATAAATAGTATGAGGACAGGGGCTCTTTAACTGCCTCCCGGCCAGCCGTTGTACTTACACGGCCTGCCGGGACCTTCTTGGATGTAAGCGGGCGTGCTAGTACGTCCTGCCCCGCCCCCCGCTCAGGCGCGCCCCCCGCGCGCGCACGAGCCGCTTACTGTGCCCACCTATACATGAAGAAAGATAATTTATTTGCACTGTTTCATTAACATAATATAAGGAAAACTGTTTTTTTTCCTAAATTTTCGGTATTGTTTCCCTAATATAGTAAAAAATAAAAATCCCAGTGGTGATTAAATACCACCAAAAGAAAGCTCTATCTGTCCCAAAAAAATGGTATAAAATTCATTTCAGTACAGCGCTGCATGACGGAATAAATGTCAGTCAAAGTACTGCAGCGCTGAATACTGAAAAATGGCCTGGCCAGGAAGGGGGTCTAAACACCTGGTCTTCAAGTGGTTAAACTTTATTCAAGCGTTATTACTTCAACCGTAATTCACCACAAGCAATACTTGGTGGAGGAGTCTGTAGTGGCGTGGATACGTTCTGAGTGGTCAGGAACCCCGTATTTCCCTTATCTTAGGTTTCATTTAAAATCAGGGGTGATTCCAGGCCATGCATAATGACATTGTCTACAAAGAGACTTTGATGTCTGAACCCAAACCCTTAAGAGTGAACCTGTGCTTTGTCTATGCAGAGCAAACCTGCAAGATGACTTGGTTACCTACCCCCCAATTCCAAACCATCTACTCTTCATTTACCTGCTGGAGCAAAGACAAAAATCCCTGTGTGTTGGAACTTCTTGCACAGCCTCACGGAGAAACACAAGCACACAGTCTGATATGCATGCTGCACATGGCTTGGCAACAGGAAGGAAGCCACAGCTTTATTCTCTACCCGAGTGGTTCTCAACCTGTGGGTCGGGACCCACTCGGGGGTCGAATGACGATTTGCCAGGGGTCGCCTAGCGGCTTCCGGCCGCCCAGGAGAGAGGCGCTTTCTCTGCTCTTTTTTTTTCTGACAGGGTTAAAAGTAAACCTGCCGCTCCGTGTGCACAGTGAGAGGGGAGAGCAGTCAGTGCTGTGCTAGGACTCCTGTATTGGAGGTGGCAGGGTCAATAAAGAGAACCTGTCACCTCCAATTGCTATTACATAGGGGCTTGTTACCTCCTGTGTGATAGCAATAAAGTTAAGTGGAAAAAAAATAGATAAAAAAATTATTAAAGAAATAGAAATAAAAGAATTAAAAAAATAAAAAAGCGATTAAAAAGAAATAAGAAACAAATTATTAAAAAATAAGAAAATTATAAAAAATAAACAAACAATAATAAGGTGAGAGTCCTCCTCAGCCCTCTCCTAGGGCAGCAGTGTCAGTCCTCCCGCCACGCCGCCAGATGTCGCTGCAGCAGCCGCGTCATCCCTAAATTTTACCGTTGGGGGTCACCACAACTTGGCAAATGTTACCAAGGGGTCCCGGCCCTAGAAAGGTTGAGAACCACTGCTCTAGCCTATTACAATACAACATGTACAGTATACCATGGATATAACAGAACACTGCCATCTAGTGACCAAAAATGTATACTGCAGTAGTTGATGCAATAGACACAATGTGTATTCGAACACTGTGTAGGTCAAGCTCACCCCGGGGCTTTAAGTCTTTGCCCCAGCAGGTGAATGCAGTGGCAGGTGAGTGAAGGAAAGGAAGGAAATAAAAGGTTTTTTATAGTATACAGAAGGGTGAACACCCCTATTTATTATTTGTCAATTTCCCAATATGGTCTATTAAAAGAAGTTCCAACATTTGTGGTTCTATGCGGTGGGGTATTTCTTTTACAGGGGGCAATGTACCCGGGGAAATCTTTTAGAAAGTAAGGGGTTTGGTTTGGTAATAAAATGTCATTGTGATTTATTGTGGGGAAGGGAGTGATTGGGTTCAGTAGGGATCTACTATTGCTGCAAGTTTGCTGTATTGGGAATAATTCAATTGTTATATGCCGTGAGGTCTGTTGTAGTCCTAAACAGTAATTGCTTTGGGTATTGTAAGCGATCCCCTGTAACTGCGCATGCGCCAAGCGCGCTTTCCCGTACTATTGGGAAACACGTAAAAGCGTGCCAAACGGCGCACAGGAAGTGACACATCACCCTAATCACTTCTCCTATATAAACCCAGCCTGAGCACCACCATATTGCTGGATTATCTTCAGCTCTCCTGTGTTCCTGTTATCTCCTTCTTGATTTGCTGTAACCCGGATCTTGACGATTCTGGCCTGCTGCCTGCCTCCGGCCTCGGATTTGCTTACTGGACTTTGCTTCTGCCTGACCCCTCTGTACCGTTATTTCTCGATTGGTTTTGATCTTGGCTCGTTTACTTGGATTTCGCCTATGAAAGCCCTTGGACTTCAGCTTGCACGGTGTTATCACCACTGGCACCCGTGCCGCTCGCTGTCTACTTGGACTCTGTCCCCAAACTCAGAGTCCTCGGGACACGAGGTGCAAGGGAGGCCTCCTCACGCATTCAGTCTCCAACCAGGTACGTGACAGCTATAAATAGTTTAGGAAGACCGTGGACTCCTGACCCCGAGCGTTCATAGGTCTTTCTTTGTTTTTGTTTTTAGACTCAGCAGGAAATCTGTCCAAAGTAAGTGGAAGTACGGGGAATTCCCCTCTTAGATGGTCGTCGCGGTGTCCCTATTCATAGATTTCCTCTCAGCGATTATTTCACTGAAAATGGTAACATTTTGGGTTTTCCAACACTTTCTCGGTTACACTGCTCAAAGGACAAATAGAAAGAGGGGTGGAAGGGGGGGGGGGATCCAAGAGGAGACACAGCCAGCAATGACTGGACTCCAAGCTTGGTGGAGATACTAAAGAGATCACATGATTGCTATAGTGTGGCAGCTCTCTGTTGCCCGGTGGAGCCAACAAGTAAGGATTGGTCCAGATATATATCATTTCTATTGGTCACAATAACCGGGTCTATCAAGAGGGGAAATCCAACACAGTTTGGGGGTTGTGCCCAGATTCCCTTCAATGCTGTAAGCTGTAGTTAGAAGATAATTCAGCTAAGTTGTCTGGGTGTCAGTCAGTGTAGCTGAGCGAGATTCTAACTACAGCTTATGAAGAATTAAAGCCTTCCATTCACCACCCGTCATGTTACCTCTTATACAATTAATCTAAGACCTGATGAAGGGGAATCTGTGCAAAACCACCGAAATGTGTTGGCTGTCAATTCTTCATAAACCCTTTTTATGACTCCGCATTCTCTTCCTTTCACTCCATACACGTAATAAAAACCTGACAGAGGGTTTCCTGCTCATCTCCCACTCTATCCAAAACTAAAACAAAATGGCGCTAGATATACTTTGAATTAACTTGTTGCTTTTTCCTGCATTGGAAGGCACAAGTTCAATTTAAAAATGAGAATCAGCCTCTGGACTTTTACCCATGCAGTTATTTTTAAAAGTCAAGTGACAAAGGCTTTTAGGTACAGAACATAACACGCCACTGATCGACGGTGCCATCTTCAAGAACATATTTCTTAACAACATTTCTTATAGCTCAAGCTATCAAAAACTGAGCTCATGGTATTCCCTAGCCCCCCCCGCCCGCACCCTCCCCCAACTTTTCGATCATGATTGATAACACAACCATCCAACCCTCCCCCCATGCCAGGGTGCCATCCTGGACTCGGACCTCACCTTTCTTCCCCACATCCAATCACTATCCAAATCCTGCCGCCTTCACCTACGTAACATCTCCAAAATACGCCCCTTCCTCACCAATGAAACCGCGAAACTACTCATACACTCCCTTGTTATATCTCGTCTTGACTACTGTAACTCCCTCCTCATTGGCCGACCTCTACACAGGCTCCTCCCCCCTCCCGTCTATCATGAATGCTGCTGCCAGACTTATCCACCTAAGCAACCGCTCAGTGTCTGCAACCCCCCTCTGCCAATCCCTCCGCTGGTTTCTATCCCCCACCCCCCTCTGTCAATCCCTCCACTGGCTTCCAATAGCCCAAAGGATAACATTCAAAATATTAACAACCACTTACAAAGCTATCCACAACTCCGCCCCCGGCTATATCTCAAACCTTGTCTCAAAGTATCACCCTAATCCGTCCCCTCCGCTCTTCCCAAGACCTCCTGCTCTCTAGCTCCTTTGTCAACTCCTCCCATGCTCTCCTCCAGGACTTCTCTAGAGTCTCCCCCATTCTGTGGATCTCTTTACCCCAACCTGTCAGTCTATCTCCCACTCTGACTGCCTCAACCTGACCACTGAACCATCACATTCTCAAACAATTCATCCCCACACAGCTCCCTCCTCATGTATCACTGGCCCCTCCCTTTTAGATTGTAGGCCCTCAGGGGCAGGGCCCTCCTTACCATCTTGTCTTGATTTGTATTGTAATGTCTTCCTTGTACTGTAAAGCGCTGCACAAACTGTTGGCGCCATATAAATCCTGAATAATAATAATATTAATAATAATATGACTGGCCCCGCAGAGTGTACAATCACATACCTGCTGATGCCATTTTCATTCGCAGTGGTCCATCTGCACATAAAAGAAAAAAATGTCATAAACATCAAGAAGGAAAATCCCATAACATACATGTAAACCCAAATTCTATTTTTCAGCATGTTCGGCATCACGGCTCACTGTGTACAGTTTCTGGAAGCAAAACGTTTTTGTGAATCTGTTGCAAACTTTCTCAACTGGAGATCCTGCCAGTAACAGCACTTCCTGTTCCAGGCTGACAACACTAAGCCACTGCATCTCAGATCGCAGCCACGTTGTCATGTGAGCTCAATGGCCAAAGCCAACTAATGGAGCGCACGTGGCAGGCTGACAATGCTGCTGCTGAGAGGCAGTGGCTTAGTCTACAACAGGAAGTTGTGTCATTGCCAGGTAAGAAACCCAAATTAATTTTCAGTTGAAGTTAGCTAAATACATTAAAGGTGCAAAAAAGAAGAAGGACCCTTGCTCTCTGTATGGAAGCAGTGGTCTCTCTGCAAAGGTCAGACACCCCCCACCCCGCTCACCCACCCCCCACACTCAAGTTCTGGCGATCCACACCCGCTCCAGCAACTCGGTGTACTCGATCAAGTTCAATAGGCTCAGTGGGGGGTTTCCCTAGCACCGAATTAAGTATAGCAGTAACGGTGGCATGGAGATGCGGGCCTTGGGTAGCTTCAGGGATCCCCCTGAGTCGTATATTATTCCTGCGGCTGCGGTTTTCCCCGTCTTCCACGCGGAGTTGCAGTTGCTGTAGATGAGATCTATGTGCAGCTTGGGTAGCCTCCAATGCATCTATGCAGGCGTTGTGGGTGGAAACCGTGACAGACAATGCGGAAACCCTGTTGTCACTACTGGCAACTTGCTGGCGCAGCTCCCCCATCTCTCCCGAGAGCACCCTCCAGTCGGGCTGCCCAGGAGTCAAAGTCAGCTCTAAAGGCTTGCAGCAGATCCCTGACCCCCCGGCCTGGCCCTCTGTCTGATTCCAGGCAGTCTGCTGGGATAAAGGGTTCTGGGATGCAGGCTTGGGAGCAAGCAGGAGAGGTTGGGGCTTCTATGGCAGGTGGGAGGGTAGTGGAAGTAGGGGGGGCCGTCTGCTTAGAACCGGCCGCTTTGATCGCTGGCTTACCGGCTCCCTGCGGGTTCGGGTGAAGCAGGTCCCCCGCGGCCTTCGGCTTGGCCGACACTTTAGGTGGCATGGTGCGGCCCTCAGAGAAAGGCACCAATCGCTGGCCTCGGACAAAAAACGAGGCAATGTCCCGGGTACCGGCGGATTCCGGAGCTGTAGAGGGAGGCAGCCGTGCTGACATCCACCGCCGGGAGAGGAGAGGTAGTGAGAGAGTCCCTTAAAAAGGAGCCCTGGGGTCGCAGCGCTCCGTTCAGCACGTCCTTAGCCCACCATGCTCGGCCACGCCCCCCCTTGATTCTGTTTTTTAAACATATATTTTAATAATATACTGCCCGAGTCTGAGCTTTATTTTGTCACTAGGGAAATTTTCTCCTTCCTCCACCTCACACTCCCCGCCACTCGTATTGCCCAATTACAGTGCCTGAAAATTTGAACAATCCACCTTATACTACTGCACATGGGCCCAAAATGCTGCCGGTCAGCCGCTACCCTTTGCCACTATAGCCACTTGATGATCCTAACATTCACCTCCATACACTATTAACTCTCCATGCACTGTCCCTCAATACCACATCAAGTTCACCTCACCCCCGACCTCCAAAGATGTTGTCCCCGGCCCACAATTCACCTCACCCACCTCCACTCACCTGCCAACTCCAATCTTCCCCACACCTCTGCGGTCAAATTTAATCCCTTACCCCATGCAAACCTGATATCAGCACGGCTGGTACTCAAACCCCAATGAAAATATGTTATGATGAAGGTCTGCTCACATTGCCACCAATTTCATTCAAACCTTCAACTTGTGCTGCACCCACTGGCCAGATATAGGGAACTCTCTGGTCTCCGACTTCCCTTGCTAGGTCACAAGAGAGACACATGGGGAGTCTGGGACCAGAGATTTCCCTGTGACTGGCAGGTGGGTGCAGCACTAATCCGAGGTGTGAATGGAGCCGGGGGACTATGTGAGCACATTTATTATACCATATTGTGTATGGAGCTTGCCAGCCGTGCTGATCTGAGCTCTGCATGGGGGGAAAAGGTGAAGCATGTCCAACAGGTGACTGTTTTTAACGCTGAAATCTCCAGCTGGATCTTGCTGTTGATAGGTCATTCAGGAAGATGCTAACTACAAGGATCCACAAAGCTGACTCTTCACAGGAGGTCTTCTGAATGTCCCACAGTGGGGATACTGAGAAAGAATACTAAGCAAAACACAGGAGACATTGCTTTATGATGTCTCAGGTGAGCATGAATAACACTGAGGTTTCCGGTCCTTATCTGGGTAGGAAACAGTTTAGGCTGGTTCCAGTCCACCTAGTAGTCTGGGGGTCCCTCTGGAGAGAGGAGGTTCTGAGGGCTTTACATGGCAGCTGAAAGGAGTGCCAGGGGAAAGGATTAGCTTGTGAGCCTATAGGGGTGCTCTTTGCATCTGAAAGGCTGAGAGAGTAGAAGAGGGGGTGCACCTTCATGCAGAAGGCTTATCAGAGGGTTTAGCCAACCTTTGACTTTGAGCCTTATAGGGTGACTGAGGTGTCAGGCTATGAGGTCCTGGGGAAACCTACTGCAGAAACAGATGGAGTATGATGGGACTTAGCTGTCCTTTCCCTAGACCTCCTGTGTTGAGACAGTAGCATGCTCTGGCCTCCAATGGAATTCCTGATGATGGTACTAAGTGTAGGGCAAAAGAAACAATGTCCCTCCACTCTATGCTATTTGGATATGGCTTTAGTATCCCAGCAGCTTTACCAGAGGGAACTGTGCATCTGTTTGGATATAAGACACCTAAGTTAAGATGCGTGTAACACACCATCAAAACTGAAGTATAAGGCTTGAGACATCCATTCCACATGTTCAATGTAAGAAGGGGTCTACCACAGTGGTGGCAATGGTGTTGGGCTAGAGTCACCCGAAGCAGTGGGACTTTACCATTTATGTCTATGTGCAGATATGTGCAACCATGTGGTGGTGATGCAACTTCTCCCAAATTGTGAGGCCTCAGGTACTCAAAAACCCAGACAACCAGGTCACTGTAGGTGGGCAGTAGGAACGGACCAGAGATCGAAGTTTCTCATGGTGCTAGGAGCAGTAAAAGCAAGATAATGTCTCCTGAGGATGTTGAATGGTGGTAGAGTGCAAAACAAGCATGACAATAGAGGACATCAGCGATCCATCCCTCAGTGTTGACCCTTTCTGCAGCAAAACTGTCAGCGGTGGAAAATTTGAGAAGCACCTGGGTAGGACCAGGAGCACCAGGAGCGGTAGCGCCTGGTGCTCAAACTGATAAGCCTACTCAACAAAGTGAATCTTCAGACAGGGCAAGCACTGAGTCAATGCCACGGCTCTGGACCTGGAAAGGGCTCTATGGCTAACTTTTACTTTTACATTGTCTGGAAAGCACCACAATCAGAATGCAGTGCCACATTCTAGGCTAGCCCCACAAACATCTGGTCCAGCGGAGTCTGGGTATGGTACTTAAATGTCAAGCAGAGAAAAGGATGATCCCGATGGAGACCAGTTCAAGTGATGTGTGGAGGAATCTTGACTGAAGGTAAAGAAATGCATTCTGGGCAGGGGAGGGGTCTGGTCAGCCACCTAGTCTGGCTCATACATTTTCTGTTTGCTAGTCTACAGTCCTCCTGTAGGTGGCAGCATAACCAGACAGTATCTGAATTTCTGTGTCTCTTCGAAGAGAAAGATGTTTTTTTTGGTCTTGGGTTTTATAAAGTAACAGCACAGCAAATGCAACAACCAGTAGGTAATTATGGCACTTACGAGATTTGGCCATCTTTCTCAAGGCTCCTGACATCGGAGCAGAATTGAAAGCCACTCCTCCCAAGGATCCTGGCATGGGAGAAGCACCAAAAGCCATAATTCTAGGCATTGACTGCGTCATCATGAATGCTGCAAGACAAGAGAGATGATAAGTGATAAGATCCATTATACAGCCTCTACAGAATACTGGGGGGTTTCTCACCAGGACATGTCACTGCTATTATCAGGGCCAGAAGAATTTAACATGTATCTAAACCCAAAAACAATAATGTCATATATTGCAGCTCGCCAGTTCCTAGATGTGGCGGATTCAGTTTAATTTTTTCATTAAATGTTTTGCCCTTTATTTTACCCAGTAATCCTGACAAATAACACATTTCTTGTCCCTGGGTGGCTACACTCTTTTTCTCCTCTATGGGAAGTCATTGTTGTCGCCCAGGCTGATATAAATAAACTGTCAGTATCGGCATTAACAGTATCTGAAATTATAATCCTGTTATAAGGTCTGTCCCCATAGAAAAGTATAAATAACTTATATAAATGGACAGATTCGTTAGAACAGAGTTTATCTTCTTCTGACAGCCCAAAACTCCATGACATGGTTACCATAGTCAGTCACAGCTAATAATGAGGTAACTATTTGTAGCCTTCCCCATGGCGGGGCATGCAGTTATGTCCTCCTGTATAGCAGGGCTGAGGATTTGAAAACTTCATACCTGGAGCTGGGATGTCCCTGCGCACAGGAGGACCCTCCACACGTGTCTTGGTGTCCTTGTTGATGGCTACATAAGCTGTGAGAGAAGAGACAACACCAGACTGCAGGCTGGTCTCCAGGATCTTCTTCTTCACCTCTTCAGACTGTGACTCTGTTCCATGTTCCAGCTCAGAGATCAGAGCTTTGGCTGCCAGTCTGTGGATGGTGGGCCTGAAAGAAGATAGACAAAGCGTGAGTAGACCAGAGCTCTGCCAGTCTGTGTATGTTGGGTGAGAGAAGACAGACAATGCATGAGGAGACCTGAGCCTAGCCAATCTGTGGATGGTGGGTGAGAGAAGATAGACAATGCATGAGGAGACCTGAGCCTAGCCAGTCTGTGTATGGTGGGTGAGAGAAGATAGACAATGAATGAAACTTTCAGAGCTCTGACAGTCTGCGGATGGTGACCCTAAAAAAAAAACATGGAGAATGTTTGTAGCTGATGTAGAATATTTCAATACTTAATATTGACCTTTCTGCACTCTGCACGTTCAGCGGGAAACGAATGTCGTTCTTTACAACTTCATCTTTAAACTTGTACTGCAGAGAGACCTCACCTTCAGCTTCATTCTCCACCTGGGGAAAGAGAGAGAGAGTCCTGAGCATCAGTCAGCTCACATATATAAAGGCTTGTGGACAGCTGAAGCTAATAATGAGTTCTGGTTACCAGGTAAAAAGTGGAGCTAGAAATGAGGGCTTTATCCCACCCAAAGCTCTACAAAGCCTCGCTATATATGTTGTGTGCATGTTTATTAAATCCTCACCTTAAACCACACCCATCATCACAGAAATCCCGCCTACTCTAGATATATGTTCTCCACTCTCCATAGAGGGTGTGGAGTCTTACATGTTTGGGATGTTTTTCTACCACCAGCAGAGTCTAATTTGACCTGGAAATATACCCAGGTTAAATTCCGCCAGACCTCATCCTACCCAAATTTCCAATCTCCATTTAGAAATAATTTTCACCATCCTTCATACTGAAGTAATACACAAAACACGATCTTCCCCGGGCTCACAGACCTTTCCCTTTAGCTGAGCGTAGACAATGGACCTTTGTCCCTGGAAGATGGTAGTGGGGACTTTGGACAGGACGATGGCCTCCACACCAGAAGGAAGGGTCCATTTAAGAGAGACGTCCTTCACGGTGGGCTGTAGGGAAAACTTGAGCGCCCGAAGAACCTAGAGATAAAAACAAAACAGAAAGAAAAATTTTGACTTAAAGCTGAGCTTGAGGAAAGGATAGCAAGATAAACATGAAAACGCCCAGTACAGGATAAAATAACAAAACTAAATTTAGCTGCAATATTCATCTTCAATTCA